AAAATTTTTTAATTAAAAAGGATTTTATTTGATATAATATATTATTACATGCAGCGTAATTATGTTTATATATTTTTTATTTTATATTTTTCTATTTTTTTTATCTTTGCGCTGATTTTCATTACTCTGTCATTTATGCTTAGAATTACTCAAATGACCTGGTATAAATATGAACTGGTAGAAAAAAAACACAAGGAAAGAAGCGCGACAAAGATTAGAGAAATATGAAGTAAGAAATACGAAGAGTCAATTATATTTGTGAATTAATCTAAATAGAGAACATTAAAATCATTTTAGAATTTGTTTTATTAAAACATAATTTTTTGAATTGAAAGGAATTTAAATCTAAGTTACATTAACTCTTTATTATTAATAAGTAAAAACTCTTATTTAGAAGGTTTTATAGTGGTTTTTTGTGTTAAAGGTGAATGGAGTCAATGTGATGCAATCTACGCATACTGATGTAGTTCAGCTTATAAAATGTAAGTATTTTATTTTTTAAATTTTTATGTTTTTGTTAAAAATTGAAGAATTATTGCAAAATATAGTATTTGTATTACTATATTAAAAATATGTTATATTTATCCCTGTGAAATTAGCACCTCATTTTTGAAAAAATTAACTTTTCGTTATAGTTCTGAATGCATCTGGAGTTTTTGTCTGAAATTAAAAATAATTCCGGCGAGTTAAATAAAAAAAATTAATAGTAAAAGTTTGGGCTGCCAATTTCACAAAATACATTTCAAAAAATCGCGATATCTTCTATAATATTGATTCTAGCTTTTCAGGTCATAATAACTTGCGTCAGACCTCTTGTTATCCAGAATCGATAGAATTATCGGAACTTTTAAAAAAATTTTCACTTCGAGTGTTAGAAATTTTTCGACAGAAAAATTATGATTTCTCTTAAGAAATTATTTCATCCTGAAACTTTTAAAAAAATCGAAAAATTTTTTGCTTAAATCAATAGTTTAATGTCCAAAGAATATAAAATTTTTTATCCAAAAGTGAAATTCCCAATATTAAGATAGAGATACAAAGATAGAATTGATTATGTCGAACGATGCATAGCAATCTCCACGCCGCCGTTAATTGTTCCGTTTATCAGAATAGTTCAATCATTATTTAACGTTATAATTACATATCTGTACTGTAGATAACATTGACACACAATTTTAATAGATTATACTTTTTTGATTAGAAATCGTCCGTCCATGTACTTAAAATACGACAAAAAAGGATTGTTATTGAAACTTTAATCGCGTTTTTCTCAGAATGGTATTTTCAAAAATTATGGACACCAGGACTACCACAAAATTAATCTAATCTCTGTTTTGAAATTTGGCTGTTATTGTTAATCGAATTATCTCAAGAAATACCTGTAGTTTTTATAACTTATATACTTTTTTTGTAATTCATACTTTTATATTAAATTTTTACGAAAATTGAAAATTGAACTTTTTTCTTTAGGCATGCATCATTTTCATATTTTTAAAATCAGACAGGTATTTCTTTAGTAAATTTAATGCAGATTAAAAATAATTAATCAAATTTTTGATACAGCATATTTTGAACCCATTCTATTGTCCACCATGAATGCCTTCATCACGCACAGACCTCCGAAAAACGTGTTGTAGCGCCGCCATTTTGTCACGAATATAATTATTACACATTTTGTATACAAAGATTAGAGTAACAAATAGATATAAAAAGATTTTTTTGTATTATATATAGTTTTTAGTAATTAAGTTCCAAAATAAAGTATGATTTTAAGGCCTTCAAGATGGAATAATCCCTTAAACTGTTAGAGAGTTAGGGGAGAGATGCTAACTTCTTACGAAAATCGAGATCGAATAGTTTTGTGCAGTCTAATAACTTCATTTTGTGAAGAGTTTCTGATGCATAAAAAAAATTTTGAAAAATCAAAGAAAAATTAAAAATTTTTGAAAAATTAATTTTTATATACAGTTGTTCTAATTAGAGTTCCTGCTTCCTTTTAACGAGACGAAAAGTTTTCTGTATTTTTTAACGCGAGATTTGCTCAATTACAATTTTTAAATAATTTTAAAAAATGTGTTAATTTTTTATCGAAATTCAAGATCGAATAGTTCTAAGTAGCTTAATAGCTTTTTTGTGAATACTTAAAGTTCATGATACATAAAAAATAATTTTGACGCATGACAAAATTTATAAAAAATAGATAAAGATATATTTATCGGAAAATTAATCTAAAATATTTCAGATAATTTTTTTTATTTTTACGACTACTTGCAGTTAATAAAAAATGTAAATTATGTCGTTCATTTTCTGTGGCTATACTTTTGGAACTTAAAATGAAATAGATATATGTTCGATTTTTTTGCCAAGAGAGAGAGAGAGAGAGAGAGAGAGAGAGAGAGAGAGAGAGAGAGAGAGAGAGAGAGAGAGAGCTTTAGTGCAGTCTAATGCAGAAATCGCATGAAACAATAGAACGATTTAAGGAATATCGTAATTTTTCATATGTTATTGAAAAATTTCTAACATCCGAGGGATGAAAATTTTTTCCGGCGAGAGTTCTGAATAACACCTCAAGAGTTCTGATAAAAGTTATCATGACTCGAAGAGCTAAAATTTTACTATTGATATTTTTGTCATAACTCTCTGGAACTATTTTTAATTTTATATTGTTAATAAGATATTTGGTATTTTGTGGAAGTGTTGGAATTTTCAAGTTTTATAACTCAGAAAGTTCTTAATGAAAAAATATTTGATTATAGTGTTTTCGAAAGCTCTCGAGATAAGCTACAAGAATGTACAATGAAAAATAGGATTTATCATTTGGAAAAATCAACGTGACTTTCATCTGAGTTCTACGTAGACTGTCTCTTTGCTGTTTTCATTAGTTTCTTATGGCGGTATTCTGTAAAATCGCTGCGGTATAATTGTATGCTCCCAAGTTGAGGTCTAAATAATACAAAGCGATAAAATCTGTGTGCCTCCATTTGAATGGCTTCAAGTTTCCAATAGCTTCTCAATTTTTTTTCTCGTGATTTTTTTTCTCTAATGATTAGGTGTGAGATAACGCGAAAATACAAAATTGTAACGCTCAATCGCTAATTTATTTCACTAAAACTCGTTGCTAACAGTACAGAAAACAAAAAAATGATCACATAAATATTTAGTGTGATTATTCATGTGGATGCACATGCTTGCTCAAGCTGGGAGAACGCAAGACTTGCCGTTTTTATATGATTGGATCTTATGATCTTTGTTAAGGGACAACCAAAGACATCACATCACTCTAAATATGACGCTGATCTGACCGTACGTTATTTAATCTACAAGATGTCCCTGTAAAAAAATGGCATCATCAGTCATCAATGACAGCAGGTAGAGCGGACTGAGTTGATTGAAAAGTCTTGTATTGTCGAAAAGTTTTTTGTTGGCCCAAGTTAATGAGATGTTAGTGATTAAAGATAGCCGAATACATCGGTCAAGTTATGACGTTTAGAAGCTCGCCTGCCAAGCCACCTCCGGGATCCGGGCGTCATGCGATCGGTGAGCCGTACATTCGGATAATATTCCAGGCGAATACTCGTATTTGGATACCTTTAAACGTTAATATCTTGTTAATTATTGTGCAAATTGCAAAATAGTACAAGACTTTTCGACTTAGGTCTGCTCTACCTGCTCATGATGGGTAATGCCAAATTTTAGGGACACCCTGTATATTTCTGACTTGTTGAAAATTTCCATAATTTGATAATATTGATGATATTTGCTAATATTTATTTATATATTTTCTCCAAAGTTCCAATAAGTATTGTAAAATTTAAATCATAGTAATATCTGTATCAAATTGTCTTTCAAAGCCAGTCATTAGCAAAGAAATATTTATGTTGCTTTTATTAAAAGTATTGAAAATCACGCATAATATTTTCATCATAGAACTTGTTACCTACATCGCGATGAAAGGTAGATAACTCATTCATTGCCATTAATATTACAGATCTTGAGTAGAAATATGTGTAAACGCAAATCTAAATATTCGTGTAAAAATTATAAATAATTCTGGTGGTATAACTTGTTAAAAACATAATTTGATTTGATTTAAATGTTTGAATGCTGCACTTCTTTTGCTATAATATATTTGTTCTTTCGAATTTAATCGACAGGCTTACAATGACTTAATCTTACTCATCTCGCGTTGATCTGTATATTTCTCACAACATATTTCTTTAGTTGACCAAATATTCTTAGTTAAGATGTTTCCGCAAAGCTTTCTAATTCCCAAACTGCAAAAGGGACTTAAATTTTTATTCTCCATTAAAAAACAATGCAAAGCGCTTATGATTTGTAATAAACTGATATCGTTATGCTCATCTCTGTACATTGGATCTGCTATTACCCAGTGTCGAACTTATGTTCTGTAAAATAGTTTATTTTTGTCCAACTTGATTTTATCATTTTTTAGTAACTTGAAAAAATCTCTCACTTCTTCTTCTTTTTAATATAGAATCAAATCTTGTTTTATCCATTCCTCTATGCCTTCTGTGATCTGGATATCCAGCTTTCGTGCTACTTTTTTGGAGATCTTTCTGGCGGGAGTTCTGTGGCTTTTCTAGCCCACTTGGCTAGTCTTTCCCATTCTTTTTATGTGATCTCTCCAGCCTCGCCGCCTTACTCTGACCCATCTTATATTCTAGATATCGCGTCTTATTTGTTCTTTTATTACTCTGTTCCTTCAGTTGATTTCTCTTATTGCTCTTAGCATCTTCATTTCTATAGAATTCTTTTTGAATATCTCGACTCTCGTTTCTGCTGCATATCTTAGTACTGTTCTGATGCAGGTATATAAATTCTCATTTTGCTTTCTGTTATCATGTTTTGATTCCTCCATATTATGTCCCTCAAGTGATATTGCATTTGCTTGTATACGGATTTCTTCTTCTAAATATCTTGCTGGATGTCACCGTGTCGAGATAGTTGTATTTTGAGACCTGTTGAATGGGTATATTATTCACTATTTACATCTTATTGGCTCCTTTGATATAACTAGATTGCTTTTTTTTATTGATGTAAGCATATTTATTGATATGTTAAATTTGGGAAATTTTTGTAAGAGTCTCTAGAGGTTGTCCTCATTTTTTGCAAATAAGGTGTATCATTCGCATAATATTTGTAGCTTGTTGTTTCTCATCTTATCCAACGTTTATCTCATTCACATACTTTTTATTATACCATCCATTATTAGATTAAAGATTGGGCTCAAGTTATCTCCCTGCCTTATGTCTATGGTTATTGCTTTTGTTAGGGCGTTTCCAACTTTTACTCTCGTAGTGTTGTCTTTATTTCAGCAATGACGCTCCTATATTTTTCGCAAATGTTGTGTTCCCCATTGATTCAAAGACATCCCCCAGATGCACTCTGTGAAAAATTTGTTTAAGATCGATGAAACACATGAATAGTGGTTTATTGAACTCTCGCTTTTTCGATAAGCTGTCATATTATATATATGGCATTTATAGTAGATATAGTAGATATAGAATTATATCTAAATCCTTGTTCTTCGCTTATATTAGATTTTTCTGCTATTTTCCTGCTAGTATTTTCATTTGTTAGTATTTTCGAAATTGAGTGTTATCCTTCTGTAGTTGTTCGAGGTCTTTTTTTCGTTCCCTTCTTGAAGATTGGTATTGTTCGATGTCTTCCATTCCTGCGATATTAATCTTGTGTCTATGATTTTTCCAAAAAGAGTTGTAATTTCGTTGGATATTTAGTCCTCCATATTTTAATATTTCGTTAGTTATATCATCTATTTCAGAGGCCTTCCTATTCTTTATCTTGCTTCTGCACATGCTCCTAAGTTATGTTGTAATATTCTTTGTCTACTATTGTCACACACATGTCTTGACTGGGTCTCGGTTGCTCGATTTTTCTTTCTGCGATTCTGATATAATTTTTTGAAGGTGTGGTCCATTCTTCTAGTGTTATCATGTTTATTTCTACCTCTTTAATTGCTTTCTTCCTATTCCGTAACATTTTCCAGATTTTCCCTTGTCTTTCATATAGGTAGGTGTTCCTTTTCGTTGGTGAATCTCTTCCAATACTCCTTTTTTTGCTCCTTTATTCTATTATTAATTCTGTTTCGCATTTCTTTATCTATTCAAGGAATCTCTTGAATAAATAAATCTACAGAATTACATTTTTTAAATTTAAAATTGGCTAAATGCAAAGGACCCCGCACAAAACATACGTTCTGGCTAATTTGGCTGAATTTGTAATATGTTGTAGTTCTGATCGTCCTGATCAAAAGTCTCCAGAGCAGAAATAAAATAATGAATAGTTTTTGAGTTATTGTACATCAAACTCTACTAAAAAATAGCAATTTTAAAGAATGCGATAATCTGGGCTTTGGTTATAACTTTAAAAACATTATTTTAATGCAATTAAGATTTCTATAGAACTCTCCGAGGGCTATCAATAAACTCAACAGAACATATAGAACTATCAAAAAATTTTATATTTTAATCTACAATTTGCTTTGTTTCTAAAAAGTATAAAAAATATTTTGGAGTATATCTTTTTTTAAATTTTGTTGTAGCTTCAACGCAAGTTGTACTGACAGTGCAACAGAAACCAGTAACGTCAAGTGGTGGCGCAGCAGCAGTAACAGCGATAGCGACAGCAACTACAGCAACAACAACTTCCGGTCTACAAGTTGGTGTAGTTGGTGCTACGAGTCAACAATCTCGTCCAGTTAGTTTATCGACGGCCGGAAACATGTCACCTTCGCAACCGGTGACTTCCCTTCACAGAGCATCTACTGCACCGGCGGGCAGTGCTCCGTGTAATACTCGAATTACGGCTCCACAACCAGTTGATGTAAGTAAAAGCACGTGTATTGTGCTAGTTTTTTTGTGTTTCCACTTCTTATCCAGAATGATCAAGAACGGAACAAAATGCGAGAAAATAGGAATATTATGAATACAATAGTATTTTATTTTAATTTGAACAATCGAAAAATTAATAAAGTAGAAGTCATATATTGCTTTGTATAGGGGTGACTGAATTATAAGGCCTGTTCTTTTTTTAACTTTTGCACCAGTTCATCTTTCTTTCTTTTCTCTTCAAGAAAAAAGAAGAGGCCTATTGATAGTGGTTTCGATCTCGATCTTAATCCTACATTTGCTTTGTTTGTATAAGGTTAAATATTAGGTGTACAATTTTGCTTCCGCCGTTTTTTTTCCGAAATTCGAGGCTTTATTGTAAAAAACTGGTTATACATTTGTGATTCAAAGTATTGTCCATCGCTGGCCATTACTCTCTCCCATCTTTCGGGTAGCGTACGAATCCCGCGTCGAAAAAACTGGTCATCTTTTGAGGCTATCCACGAATCGATCCAATTTTTTACTTCTTCATAAGATCGGAAGTGCTGGTCAGTCAGGCCGTGTGCCATTGATCGAAACAAGTGATAGTCAGAGGGATAGCAACGTCTGGAGAATACGGCGAGTGGGGTAGGACTTCCCATTTCAACATTTCCAAGTATGTCTTGACCACTTTCGCAACATGGGGTCGAGCATTGTCATGCTGCAAAATCACTTTATCCTGTCGTTGTATTGCGGCCGTTTGTCTTTCAATGCTCGGCTCAAACGCATCAATTGCGTTCGATACCGATCGCCTGTGATTGTTTCAGTCGGTTTTAACAGTTCATAATACACTACGCCGAGCTGGTCCCATCAAATACAGAGCATGATCTTGGACGTCAAAATCACCGTTCTTGAAGCGTTGAAACCACTCACGACACTAATAGCGGCCTCACCATAAATATTTGAGAGCATTCGATGAGCCTCAGCCGCAGATTTCTTCATATTGAAGCAAAAAATTAAAACCTCCCGCAAATGACGAGAATTTGGCTCGTAAACTGACATTTTCAATCGAGAATAACTTTATGATGCAGACACAATCGATTAATGTTTCTATGGGGTTATGTTGACAGATGCCCAAGTTTATTGTATGACGTCTATGATCTATTTATTTCGACCACCACTTACCGCTAAAGCCTATAGGAAAACGGCGGAAACAAAGTTGTACACCTAATAGTTATAAGTTTTAATCGAAAAAATAAAAATGTGTACACGATCATATAATTCATTTCAGAAACAATATTATAAATTAATACACATGTGTATGTACTTAAGCTTAAAGGAATATAGGAGTTGTCTCGTTGTATTGATGAAATGTGATTAATTTTCTGATTCATCAATTTTTTAATTGCTTTTACAGATTTAAAAATACTTTTACAGAATTAAAATAACGCAGTCAACAAGTTTATGAGAAAAATAAAAAAAAATAGAAAATTATAATTTTATTATCGACTTCTGTGATAACTTGTGACAATATTTGCCACACATAAAAGTTTTAGACTTATATAACAAGCAAATTATATCCTCCTTAAAAGAAAGAACATCTTTCATATTCGTTGAAAATAAAATAAAAGTATTAGCCAGTTTTGAAAAATGACGCCTCGTAGAGGTCAAATGATTCATTATTGGGGATTGTCATCTATCGAGATTTTTTATCGAAACGACAAGATTAATGCTTGTATTCATAATCAGGTCTTATATTTAAGATTTCCTTAAATTTAGCTTCAGGTGTTCTACGAATTTTTCATTAGCTAGTGATGAAGATAAATTTAAGATCTGAATACGAGCATAATTGTTTAAGATATAATTACTTAAATGTTATGTCACGCTTTTTATTAATACGGTCATTTCGGGATGCATGCGAGAGCGCATTTAAGAAACGGCGGATCAATCAGAGCGGAAGGGAGATGGAGGCTCTCCACCTCTAACTAAGATATATAGATTACGTGGTTGAGCGTGATTGTTGAGAGTCGCGAGAATGTTGGGCGCTAAACGTGCTCGGAGACGACATTGCATTAACACGAAGAATCGCTAACTATATGAAAATTCCGAATCTGGGTACGCGAATATAGCACTAAACGCTGCAAGAATTCTCGCTCACGTGAAGATTGGCTAGCTCTACCTAACGGCAGAGGGGCTGGGTGTACATAAGAATTGTTCGAAGGAAAAGATGGAAAGAAAATTCAAAGATGAGAGAGTCGGATAAAACGATCGTCACTAACGTGGCGTATACGAGTTTATTGTAACAAATAGAATAAAAAAAATAGTAACAAAGAAACAGGAATGCCGCGCAGAAGAAATATGGGAAGAGAATTGCAGACAATAAAAATTACTGAAAGGAAAATAGAAGGTCGATTCTAAAATCAGTCGATTTTATAATACTCACGCATCTGTGCTGCTAAATACCGCGAGAGTATAAATTGGGGCCAAAAGATGTGCAGCTTGCGGCCTCTAAAGTTTAATGCCTTGCGGTCACAGTTCGAGATCCGTACAACACTAGACAACGCACGCAAAGAATGGCGCGAAAGTGCAAGCGATTGAGCACATTGAGAACAGATGCAATTCTTACATCGTTCATACCGAGAATAGATACGTCATGCCGATAGCACCCACCGAGAACTTTCGCGACACGCTGAGTTCACGCCTCAAGAACTTAAGGTGTTAACAGTTTACCATATTGTAACATCGAACAACATCCGTTTACAACGCTTTACACTAATTCGCGAATTCGATTGGACGTACTCAATGTTCACTGATGCACATTAAAGTTGTCGTACACAAGTTAACATAAAGATGTTTATAAATAATTATAAAGACCGATTATTAAATTGAAATACCCCTAAATAGAACAATGTTTATAAAATGTTTAGGAATGATTATTTTTGTTTTAAAACCATTTAAGATTATTTTAAAAACATTTTTTTAGGAACCAGTTAAATAACCATGTTGTACGAACGTTTTTAAATTGTTGTTTTTTAAGATATAAATATAAAATATAAATGAAAAGAATAAATGTGAGTAGTGGAGAATTAGAATTATATATCATTTTCATGAAATGAAGACATGAATTTGTCAATGAAGTTACAATGCCTGATTCTGTATTGTACAAACTCATTTCTGATTTTGTCTCATTCGCTTTGTCCGTACTAGTTTTTACTTGAAATACTCTATGGTAAAGTCTTATATTATAAGAAAAACGCAAATGGAATTTACCTGCTGATTGATGAGTGGCTGCCGATCAAAACTGGAAATATTGAAAGTTTTGTTTCTGATGAAATTTGATCAATCAGGAACATTCTTATTTTAATTCTAATACAAACAACATTAAATAGGAGATGCGATTTGTAAAGTTAGTTTATACAAAGGATCAGCTGTGGGCCCGATATTTTCGATTTTGATTAATGATCATTCAGCCAATTAACCTGCGAAACCTATTTGCGCTATTCTTATAATATATCCTTTATTTTATGGCCATTATTTTATTTGTATGTTTCTTTCACGTGGAATGTCCCATGTATGGACATATTGAGAGTACAAATTAGTTCGGTCCGTTTCCCTAAAGATAGCTCCAGTTGTTGTGAATGATTCATAGTAACAGCTGATTTTGGCGGTTTCAGAGAAGTTAAACATCTGCTAATAATATTCAATTTATATCGCTTTGAGTTTCATACAAAAACCTTGATTTTTACTGTGTTTGAAATGTCGAATTTTGTGTTAACCAAGCAGCATTTGCGGGAGATTTTGATTTTCTGCTTTAATTGGAAGAAAAGTACGGTCCATCGAATGCTTGTCAAAGTTTATGGTGACACTGCTCCAACTGATAAATCATGTAGAGAATGGTTTCGACGTTTCAAGGATGGATATTTCAGCGTTGAAGACAAGCCTCGCTCTGGACAGCCAAAAATATTCGAAGATAAAAAATTAGAGACATTACTCGAAGAAGATCAGAGTCAAACGCAAGAGGAGCTTGCAGAATCATTAGGGGTAACTCAACAAGCCGTTTCTGTACGATTGAGAACCATAGAAATAATTGAAAAACAAGGAAATTAGGTGCCTTATGAACTGAAACCGAGAAACGTTGAAAGGTGATTTTTCACTTGCGAACAATTGATTCAAAGACAACAGAGAAAGATTTTTTGCGTCGAATTGTGACTGGAGATGAGAAGTGGATATTCTACGACAACCCCAAGAAGAAAAAATACTACGCTAAGCCCAGTCAATTGTTGTCATCGACCTCAACATCAATACCATGGCCGAACATTCATAATTCGAAGATCATGCTCTGTATCTGGTGGAACCAAAAGGATCTTTACTATGAACTGCTGAAACTGGCGATTCCATTACGAGCGGTTACAATTGATCGTTTGAACCGTGCATTGCGAAAAAAACGACTGAAATACGAGCAAAGACAAAATTATTCTTCTTCATGACAACGCTCGGTCTCATGTCGCTAAAGTCGTAAAAAAATATTTGGAAACGCTTAAATGGGATGTTTTACCGCACCCGCCGTATTCTCTGGACATTGCTCCTTCCGATTACTAGTTGTTCCGATTACAAGTTGTTCCGAAGGATGCAGCAAGTTCATTTCTTTCGCAGAAATCGAAAATTGGCTCCAAAATTGGATCGCCTCCAAAGACGAGTCATTTTTTCGAGATGGAATTCGAAAATTGCCTGAGAGATGGGAAAAAGTAGTAGGCAGCGATGAACAATACTTTAATTGATCTGTTCATTCATTTTGTTTTGAAATAAATGCACAAAAAACGGACCGAACTAATTTGTACTCTCAATATTTCAATATGTAATTATAATTTTATATATTGTGTAACTATATAATATATGTATACGTATATGATTATATATGTTTATGAACTTATACATATTTATACATACTCATGAATATTTTTTTACCGAGAGCATATTATTTTATTTTTGTTCGATCTTCTTTTTTTTGTATTAAGTTCTAAACGAATTGAGATCGATGACCAATAAATCGTTTTCGTTATCATTTCCTCGCTTAGTTAACAAATATAATGTATAATTTTATTTTCATTCGTTTCCCTTTTTTTATATATTAAGTTATAAACAAATGAATGTCGAGATCCTTTAGATCACTTTGTCATTATTAATTTTTTAGCTTAATTGGCAAATACCAGCGTATAATTTCGTTTTCGTTCAATCTTCTTTTGTATTAAGTTATAAACAAATAGAGATCGATGACCAATAAACTGTTTTTCGATTATCATTTTCTAGCTTATTTAACAAATATAGTGTTCAATTTCGTTTCCGATCGATCTCTTTTAAATTATTACAATCAATTAGCTTTTGATAACGAACAAATCGTTTTGTTATCATCATTTTCTTGCATAATTCTCAAGTATTTTCCAATTTTTGCGATCAAAACATTAATTTCTATATCGCTGAATATCCATCGATAGCTTAGTGAGCGAGACTCCCTGGCAAGTGCCTCGTGCCCCGCATACCACGAGCCTCTAAACATCATAATTCGAATGTGCAGGAATCAGCGCTTCTAGCGCCATCTAATGCCAGACGGTGCAATCTGTACATTCTGAGAGCTGGTCGATTACAATAATAGCGATGTATCTGAATCTGGAAAGTTATAGATCCGGACTTTGCGTCACAATTCTCTGCTTGAAGAATACGTAGAGAAAAAATAAAAGCGTATAATACAATCGGAATGTGAGCTATCGATGAAGTTGTACTTAAAACTTGATCACAACAACCGTTAAATCCTATAATCTCGATCCGGCGCAATTCACTGGTTCGCATAAAGGAGCACAGTAGTGTTTCACGCCATATCTTAGCACCGAGACACTACCGTGTCTCCAGATACATATATATAATTACATATAATAAACATGTATATGATTCGAAATATTTGCATTTTACTTATTTAAATTAAATCAGTATATGACGGCTTTAATATGCACCATTGCGCGCTAGTGCGTCCAATCGAATTCGCCATAACAATTTGGCACAACTCATATTTTCTCCAGCCCTATGGCTTACACATACGAAAAGTCGCGAAGATTCAAGCTCTTGGATCCTCGTTCCCGTGCCATGCTTCATACGAGGGTACAATGGCTTTTTCGATTCCTCGCAACCGCGATCTCCAGGAATGATAATCGATCTTCATTCGTTCCCCGACGATTGAAATCCGTCCAAGAATTCTGTGCACGCGTGTTCGGCGTTTACGTTTCGCATTGGCTACATCGTATTTATGACACCCAAAAACGCCGCTTATGGCAGACTTCGCACTAAACTGGCGATGACAGACACAAGATGACTTCCGCCACGTTATGTGCGATGTTATACGAATTGATAAACAGGGATAATCTCACTGATAATTTTTGAGTCCTCCGCGATACTATGGTCTCTGTGGGAGCGTCTTCCACGGATCAGGACGTTTATCGTGTTCGCTCGAAGAGAACGAATAAAATCCCGATTGATACACGATCAATTTATTAGCAAGGATGCCTCACGCAAGGATGCCCTTGCACATTGTTGCGATCAGTTAGCGGATTCGCAGTCCTTTGCGTGCAACGTCGTATCTAACGGAATCCTATGGAACATCTCGCAGCTCCGCGGATTTTTTGTGTCCTTCCTTGTGTCCGACCTAGCGGTCGTCTCCGGTCTCCCTATCAGATATCTTGGGCATTATGATCTCTTCGTCGATTCCGGCAGTCTGACTTTTGCCGATTGGCTTGTCTTCGTTCCAAGAATCTTTCCTTATTTGTCGTTTGTCCCTCGCGCCCGTTTTTGAGCTCAGGTAGTTTCTTGTGAGCCGTGGCTTCTATAGGTTGTCGGAAGCATTCGTCATCTCCGCACTCCTCGGCACTAGTCTGCGGTAGCTCTGGTAATCTGAACCTCCCTCTACTTTTCGCCAACGGTTGCCTCTTCTTGGCGATATCTCGTTGCCTCTTCACTCGATTAGGTATTTGTATATTATAGGTTCCTGTATATTATACGAAATAAAACTCAGAAATTAACAAATAAATTACGATTTTCACACGCGACTTCTCTGGAGATTTCACTCGTTCGCAATTCCCGGCCCGGGGCGGGCGCAAATTAGCGCTTTGTGATGGCGGAGGATCATTGCGACGCCGCAGCGAAACTGCAACATCACAGTTAATAAAATTTATATTTTATTAACTGTGATGTTGCAGTTTCGCTGCATAAAACATCTTGAAAAAGCTATTAATTTACTATTTTTGTGAACAATGAATCCAATAAATTATTTTGAGTGTGGATTAATAATTTATTGAGAAAAATTAAATACTTTGAAACTCAAGAAATTGATAAAGATCAAGGCCCAATTTAGGTTATTTCCTTCTTTTTGAAGGAAGCCCGATTTGTTATAAAATCGAATGGCATATTATATAATTATTGTATGGCAAAGTTAGTCTTTACAACTTTAATCCAAAATTTCACAAAATCGCGACGTAATAAGTGGGTTATAAATTGTATTCAATATGATAAAAGGGTTTTTTTAAAATGATTTTTTTTCTGAAATCGAGAAAAAGTTCTTTCCTTGAATTATGTTAACAAAATTATAAGTAAAAGAATAATAAATATTTCTAGTCTAGCCTATTTTTTACAATGTTCTTACTTTTTAGCTTGAGAAAAAGCGGCAGTTGGAAACACAGAGAGTTCACACATTTCAACTTATGTTGGAAAAAGAACAAAGTTACGTAGATAAATTACGAAGCGAGTTGGCAAAAAACGGCACTGGCAATAGCAGCACTCACATCACGGCCATACAGGCGGAGCTGGCGGGTGCTGAGAGAAGAGTACGCACCTTACAGGAACAACTTGCGGCGATTAGTACGACAAACGAACAGGTCTGCTTTTTTATCCCTTTCCTATGTATATTTTTGCTCATTAAATTTCTTTAACAGTCGATGTTAACATGTAAAATTATCAGAAACCTTTTACTTGTTACCTAACATATCTAAGAATTTAAATATATCAAAAGGACACTTTAAAATTGAAGACATGGTGGAAGGATTGATGTGTTTAGTTTCGTTTGCAAATGTCTCTCTCTAATTCTCTGGCTTCTCACTATTTTATTTATTTGATGACTATTCAGATCACAATTTAATCACCCTTACAACTGAAGTTGTTGTCTTCGTTGTACTTACGTCATTTAGATTCGGTCTTTTTCACTATTTAGACTACTATTTAGATTACCAATGTTCGTGTCACATGCTCCAACATGCTCCTATCATAGCTCCTCAATTTTGCTCGTTGGAATGAGTAGGAACTAGAATAAGAGCATTTTGGAGCATGCGACGCGAGCAAATCTACAGTACTTGTCACATAACTATAGTGAAATTTATTTTCACTATTCATTCAATAAAAAATTAAAAAGAGAAGATGTCAATTAACATGTGACAAGTATATTCCTCCTCCTAAGTATATTCCGCTACGGAAATCCGTCGGTGCAACAGCGGTGCCTAGGATAGCCGGTCGGTTGCGATCGAGAACGCTCGATAGTGGCAGAGTACTCTATCACTTTTCTATACTCGCGGTCGGAGGATTCGGAACTGGATAAGAACGGTAGAAGAACAAGATCGGTGTGGGGTAGAAAAGAGACCGCGGAGAAAAACGTAGCTTTTATACTGATTGTTGCTCTCGCTCGTATTGTTCCGGAATTGTTCGGCGATTCCCGCCGATTAACAATACGAGCAGGAGAGAACGAAATTTGGCGAAATTCAAACGAACTCAGCTATCTCCAGCGGAGTGTTACCCACGAGTTTAATGTATAAAATTCGGGCGTATCGCCCCTCGGCGATTGCCGCAGCGATGTCTGACCAGTATTTTCGATAGGAACGATACACATCCAGAGAATACAAACATAATAATTTTGAAAAAAAAATATAAACTAAATTTCGGATGTGATTATTACAATTTATAAATAAAGGATAATAAAATAAATAAATTTGAATATCCACACTCAGTTAATTTTTAATAAAATGAAAGAAAGAGTTTAGAGCCATAGCTAGTTGTTAGTTGCTATATTTAAAAACATTAAAATTAGAAAAACGTTTCGACTTTACATTAGATCATTTTCAATGTTCGATTTCAAGTAAAAATGATATCTAAAAATTCTTATCAGTTTGACGACCTGACATATATTCAAATATATTTAAATTAATGTTAAAATTAACGGATGCATGATAATTTATACAATTATATTGGGTTGTTCAAAAAGTCATTGCGTTTTTTCCAATAGATGGCGTTGTCCACGTTTATTTGTATGCGAGCGTAACATGAATGTCAAATGTTTACGTTTTGTTGTTGACATTCAACCTAAAAACCAAAAAAAAAGTTGACGCGATTCGAGTTTTGTGCAATTGTAATTCGAACATGGAGAATTTTGAAATATTCGCCATATTCTGTTTTATTACTTCAAAAATAGGAAGAAAGCAACTGAAGCAAGGGAAAAGTTTTTGCGTCGAGTTTACGGCAGAAATGTCATCAAAAAACGCCAGTGCCAAAACTGGTTCGTCCGATTCCGTGATGGTGATTTTTCAGTCAAAGACGCTCATCACTCCGGGAGCGCCTTCCAAGATTGACGACGATGAAATGAAAGCATTGGTGCAAGCAAATAAGTATTCAACGATTCGGGAGCTTGTTACCGCTCTCAAAGTGTCCGTTGGAAGTGTTCATGACCATTTGAAATCACTAGGCTTTGTAAAGGAGCTCGATGTTTGGGTACCGCATGAGTTGAAAGAAATTCATCTGACGAATCGCATGAGCGTCTGCGATCAACATCAAATGCGAAGAAAACGATTCTTGAAGTGATCATGGGCGACGAAAAATGAATTGTTTACAACAATCTCCGAAAAAGAAGTTGGAGTAGGCGAAGTGAAGCATCGGAAAGGCAAGCAAAGGCGGAGATCCACCAAAAGAAGGTAATGTTGTCAATATGGTGGAATTGGAAGGGACCAGTCTTCTATGAGCTACTTCCAAAGAACAAAACGATTAATTCCGTCTACTGTGAGCAGCTGCAGAAATTAAGTGATGCCATCGTACAGAAATATTCCGAGCTAATCAATCGTAAGGGTGTGGTGTTTCACTACGCCAATGCGAGACTACACACAAGTTTGGTCACTCGGCAAAAATTGTTGCAACATGATTGGGATGTGTTACCACATTCACCGTATAGCCCAGACCTTGCTTCATCAGACTTCCATCTCTTTCGCTCCTTGCAAAACTCCTTGAATAGTAAAACGTTTGTTTCTGAAGACTTCATCAAACAGCACTTAGACAAGTTTCTCGCAGAGAAGGATGGGAAGTTTTATGAACGTGGTATTATGAAGTTGCCCGGGAGATTGCAGAAGGTCATCGAACAAAACGGCCAATATATTATTGATTAATGTTCATCACATATATTAAATAAACACACCTGAAAATCAAATGAAAAAAACGCAATGGCTTTTTGAACAATCCAATAACATAAAGTTTGAACTCTTACAATTTAATTATATATTATATTTACATTGAAGAGATGTGCATATAATAAAGTGACGAAATTGAAATCATTCCCAACAGTTTGAAATCTTATAAACATATAAAAATTCGAGTGGTATTCCTTCCAAACTATTTGAAATCTTGCAAACGTATCAAAATTTGAGTGATATTGTAATGAGTGAAATTGTAACAGTCATAATGACTGTTTGGTAAGTTTCCCACTAAAATATATGACGACGATTTGCAACATCTTATAAATATCGAAAATTGAATAGTATTCCTTGCTATGTTCATAATGACCGTTTAGTGAAAGTTTTACGTTACTTGCAATACATGAAGGTACATATTGTGTAATATCGATAAATTAAAAAATTTTTCTTATATGCTGATATTACCTTTATGTGGTTCTACAAATAAAAATTATTATATAATTATCTCTTAGATAAAAAGCATTGTTAAGACAAGAACTCTGAATAATCACCAAATCAGTAAAAAATAAAAAAGTGTAATGCTTCGTCCCAAGAAAATTCTAGAACTTAAATTCTATTATTTTGTTAGTTGTCTTGCCACGTAGATCTTTAACTATTGCTATACAAATTATTTAAACTAATAACGAGAACCTGCGAGCAACTAAAAAGGATATTGTTGTGGAGATAGAGTTCATCACTGGAATAGGAGAAAGGATGATAAGAAAATTTTTAGGAAGGGGAAAGTGATTGTATGATAGACGAATACATTTCAGGCAGAGATTCAGTGTCACTCTATTATTTAACCCATTACCTTTTTATAAAAATATCAGAAGTGTTATATCTAGTTACAGAAATTATATACAGTCATATCAGAAGTTAGTCTCTTATAACAAGATTTACTGTGTAAAATTTTTATATTGTTCCAATCGAAATTATGATTGAGTGATATCCGATGAGTCGATATGATAGTGAATCTGACTTTTTATTAATGTTAGACATGTGCTCCGCAATTCTCGTTTTTAACTGCCTTCATTTGGCCAATGTACGAGGTGTTATAGCAAGAAATTCTGTATACAACATCGTGATGTATTGTTGTCTCCAGTGCATCCTTGTCAGTTTTAATGTAATTTTTTAGCATTCGGAATCGTAAATGCTAGTTTTAAGTTCACGCACGTTTTTTGCAATATTAGAATGATTCTGAGATGGTTCTTACAAAAGATGATTCTTAGTAAAATATCTGTTGTTTTCTCTTTGTTGAATATGCTGAAATGTCCTATTACTGCTATCATTAAAATGAAATTTAATTCTAGTTTGTGAAGTAGAAAAAGTAAAAGGGGAATAGGAATTTTTAGGTATCATTAATGATAATAAATTTTCATATATGCGTCTGTTAATTTTAACGTTAATTTAAATGAGTATATGGTCAGGTCGTCAAACGGTAATAGGAATTTTTAGATGTCATTTTTATTTGTAATTGAATATTGAAAACGATCTAATGGAAGGAAACGTGTGTTGTGTAATTTTAATTTTTTTTAAAGTAGGAACTAGCAGCTATTGCTTTAAGCCCTTTCTTTCATCTTAATAAAATAAAGATGGATAATAATCCTGTTGAAAATATAATAATCCTGTATAAAATATATATACTCGGAATTTTTATACAAATTGAAACACATTTTCGAAATACATACTCAAAATGTTTATTAATTTTTTTGTAAATGTTTTTGTAATTTTTTTTAGAATTTTTCATAAATGTGAATTCTGAAATATTGTAAGATTCGTGTAAAAAAAATTTGAGGTATTTTCTAAAAAGTTATAAAATTATACTGAAATTCTAAAAATTCTGAAATGTACATAAAAATTTTGGAAAATTATATGAAAGATCTGAGAAAAATTTCTATCATTATAAAATTTTTCTCATAATTTTTCGAAATTTGGTAAAACTTTCCTTTTATACAGTTAGCTACAAATGATCTTCGAGTGATCTTGATTTTGACCCTTGAGGTCAAGAGCATTAACTTCTTCCGTCACTTGTTATTCATTAAAAAGTTATGAATAGAATAATTTTTATAAATAGTGCGCAATTTTTAATATAAGGTACATATAATATTTCAGCAACATTTTCCCTTGATAGGGGGAGGTGAAAGTCGTGCATTTCCAAGCAAAGAGGAAGGTGGGAGTGGGAATTGCTTCAGATGAAAATCGCTTCGCTCCCTGCCAAGTAGCGCGACTTTCACCCGAGGCGACTGCTACTCCATCTCCCCTCTGCTTGAGGGCGCCGGCTTTCACCTGAAGCGACTCTCATTTCCCCCCCCCCCCCTCCCCCTCCTTGGAGGAGCACGACTTTCCACGTGAAGCAAGGTCTACTCCCACTTCCCCCTGTCAAGAGAAAATACTGT